GCTTAGCAGGTCATTCACTACTATTTCTTGCATTATGAATGGATTATTTTGATCTCTATCTGTTGCGGACTGGTATCAAAGGATCACCAGCTGTTAGGATACTTCCATGATGTCCTCCCCACCCAAAGTGGAGAGGGTTATAGATAAGACCGAGACGTCCACGTAGCATTTGCCTCGCACAGAGGAATGGCCACTGCTGGATTGTATCTTATAGGGTAGATCGAAAATATAACCTCACCACGCTCCTAAATTGTTACCGAGGCCAATAGTCAATGTACGAATTGTTTGGTTTATTTAGGGTTAAGACCAATTGGGGATTAAAGATTCAAGGAAAGCAGTCTGAATATGTATGCATTAAGAAACTCAGAGGGGTAGGATTAGTGGAGGAAAATGGGGAGGGACTAAGCCCGATTGGAAGGTCAGGAGTCCGGGAAGGAAAGGGCCACAGTCTTGGATACGCGTGCTCAGATTACCGGTCCGTAGTCTGACAAGATAGCAGCATCAGGAAGTTTCAGTGGATGATGGGAAATGTAGTCCGTGACGACAAAATGGCAGCACCAGAAGTTCCAGTCAGAGGTTCTCTGGGAAATATAGTCCAGCTACAATCATGTAGTCGTGAAGTGATGACGCAGACAGCTGCGACGACAAAATAGTGGCAGTCGGAACCACAGCAAACAGCTACTTTAGCGGAGACGTACAAGTAATGAGAGCAAACGGCAGCACGGTGGCGCCCTGGCGGCGGCTGCGTCCGACAAGGGCGGTGCCGACTCTGGCGAGCAGGCAGCAGCAGCGTCCGGGCAGACAGCGGGAGCAAACAGCAGCATGCCCGGTTCCAGCTCCGGCAAATAGTAGTCCTGGGGTGGGGGACGCAGGGGTGGCAACCTGCTCCCCTCTGGGACATGGCAGCGTCTTCTTCCCCCTCTCGTTTCTTACTGGGCAGTGTGGCTGGAGCAGTCCTCTGGAGCAGTGACTCAGAGCGGTCCTGTGGCAAACAAGAAGAGAAAGAGGAAGTTTTCATCCGGCCAGCACCCTATATAGCCTTCCAGGCGCAACCAAGCCAATCAGAGCTACTTTTAAATATAGACAATTTTAATCTCCGAAGTTCCAGACCCTTCTCTGTAAATATTCCGAGAGTTCCACATTTGACCAGCAGAGGGCACCCTGTGCCCATGTTGCAGGCTCAAAAGGCATAAAGTGAACCAAAAATAATGCCCCATTTACTACACCATCCCTTTCTTCCAGCTCAGGGGACTGAGGATAATTGGACCAACTATTAAAGACTGAGGCAAAGAAGGCATTCAGTACCTCAGCCTTTTCCTCATCCTTGATAACAATGTTCCCTCTCACGTTCAATAAAGGATGGAGATTCTCCCTGGTCCTTTTTTTGTTGTTAATATTTTGTAAAAGCACTTTTTATTATCTCTTGCAGCAGTGGCCTGGCTGATTTCTAGCTGAGCTTTTACCCGCCTAATGTTTTTTTCTACATGACCTAACTAAATCCCTATACTCTTCCTGAGTTGCCTGCCCCTTCTTCCAAAGGTGGTAGGCTCTCCTCTTTCTTCTAAGTCCCAGCAAAAGCTCCCTGTACAGCCATGATGGTCGTTTTCCCCACCAGTTTGTCTTATGACATATGGAGACAGCCTGCTCCTGTGCGCCTAAGAGTATCTTCTTGAAAAAAGTCCAGCCTTCCTGGACACCTTTGCCCTCTAGGCCTGTATCCCAAGGGACTTCTTCAAACAGTGTTCTAAACATGTTGAAGTCTGCCCTTTTGAAGTTCATGGTAATAGTTTTGCTGCCCCTCCTCCTTACTTGGCCAAGAGTCAAGAACTCTTATTATTTCATGGTTGCTGAGCCCAAGACGGACTCTGACCACATCTCCCACCAGTACTTCTCTGTTTGTAAACAAGTCCAGCAAGATACGTCCCCTGGTTGGCTCCCTCACCAGCTGAGTCAGGAAGTTATCTTCCACATACTCCAGGAACCTCCTGGACTATTTCCTCTCTGCTGTGTTCTATTTCCAGCAGATGTCTGGCAAGTTGAGGTCCCCCAGAAGAACAAGGGCTTGCGATTTTGCAGTGTCTGCCAGTTGTCTACAGAACAATTCATCAACCTCTTCATCCTGGTTGGGTGGTCTATAATAGACTCCCAACAGGATATCTGCCTTGTTGGCCTGCCTCAACTTTACCCATAAACATTCAACCAGTCCATCATACTTGCTGACCTCCATGCAACCAAAACACTCCCTAATATAGAGAGCCATCCCACAGCCCTTTCTATATTGCCTATTCCTTTTGTAGAGCTTATAGTCATCCATAACAGCACTCCACTCATGAAAGTCATCCCACCACGTTTCTGTGATGATGACCACGTCATAGCTGTTGCACTGCACAATGGCTTCCAGCTCCTTCTGTTTGTTGGCCATGCTGTGTGCATTAGTATAGATGCACATGAACCAGGCTAATGACTTAATTCCCAGCCATGGCCTACCACTCATAGACTCAACTCTAGTGGGCCCAGTTTTATCTCCTTCCCACTTTGAACCTAGTTTAAAGCCCTTTCAATGAGCCAGACAGCTCATACACAAGGATTCCTTTCCCTCTTTGAGACAGATGAACTCCACCTGTCACCCACAGACCCTGCGCCGCATAGAGCTCATCTACCCTTTCATTTGTGGAAAGTAATTTATTAATACATGGCTTATTTTCTCCAGATTGCTACAATTTCTCCAGGGATGGCATCATGTGAAAACACTCTAAATACATTGAGATATGCGAATAGGTATGGAAAATATTATTGCTTATAGCTATACTGACTGTTCAGCACTGATATATGGAATACTGTTGTTCCATGATGTATAATTATTTAAACTAATAATTTAATGTACTTCCATTTCTTAATAAGATTAAGACCAAATGTATTCTATCCATTATAGAATATGCATTGCTGAAGTGACACTGCAAAACAAATTCAATGCATATTTCTAGTATACTAAATTGTTGTGCTGAAACTATTTCTTCCCCTTGGTGTTAAATTTGTATGTTGTTATAGAGTAAAAGCCTGTCTCTGTAAAGCTGCTTCATGTTTTGTGTAGTAGTAAATTTTTTTTTTAGCAATATATTATTTTCATAGTACAATTAGTTTTCAGATGCTGAACACTGGTCTCTGTGCAGTGTAAGACGAGGCAGTACAGAATTTAAAGTATTGTAGTGGTTTGATATATTAAAAGGAGCAATTTAATGGAATATTGAATGTAGAGAAAATTTTATTAAGTTCATGAACTAAAATCTGGAATTACTGTTCTGAAAACATTGCTATTATAGTCTGCAAATTAGAAGCACTGTTTTGGGTCAATTTTGTTAGTGATTTGTAACTATTTTCAGAAGGTTTAAATATGTTGACGTTCTTGTGTTTTAATATAAAAATAATTTTATCGTTAGGCTATTAAAGAAGAATGCTAACCAAAGAGTTGTCATTTGAATTGTGTATGTGAGAACATTTTCTTTTAATTTGCTGCTATATTTTGCTGCTGCAGAGTAAAAGAATTTGGAATTAGTCCTTCAGACATTCCCTTCTCACAGGGCAGTGGCAATCGCTCTGATCGCTCTCCTTCCTATGAGTATGACAACTTTTCTCCTTCTATTACCAGGTCTACTTCATTCTATACATAAAATCTTTATTTTTAAGTTTTCTTTTTGGAAATGTAATTTTACTGACCAGCCTTTCATTAGTCCCCTTGCCTTGAGTCACAAATACTTTAGTTTTATTTTGTTTGGCAGTTGATGGTTCTGCATGATTTGCAATCATCTTCCCACTATTTTGTTCATCCTCCTTCAACATCCACACTCTGTATCCAGGCTTGCTAATTGTCTTCATACATTTAAAAAAAAGAGGTGATGTCACCTTTGTACATTTAGTGGACCAAATTTGACAAGTCTGTGTTTAGGGCAATTTGAATATGCCTAATTAAAAAAGAGAACCATCACAATGCATATATGTTTTTAGAACTTCATCACTCTGAAGATGAATGAAATACAGTTTCCATTTTAGTAAATATGTGCTACTTGAAGAAAAAAAAAAAAAAACTTTAAAAATGAAGAATTTGCTCCAAAATTTGCTATATTTGCAGACTTTGATCTGTTTCATAAATATGCTTTTAAATGGACTTTTTTTGACAGAATGATTATCAATCTTTTAAACTATTTTCATGCTGCAAGAGCCTAACACTTTAATAAGATATTTTCACCTTTGATATTATTTTAAAGGATCTATTCATTCTCTGGGATAATTGGTTGTCAAGTATTTTTTTCTTCAGAATTCTTGGTGGATTTGCCTATAACAGCCAGTGGGGTACTGACTGAAAAACTTTTAAAAGCATAATTGTGTGAACAGAACAAGATGGTCAGGTTTAGAGTGCTGAATTAACTTTTCCTTCAAATGCTATTTATTATTAAGGAGTTAATATTGAGGGTTTGGATATTTTTGCCCTCTTAACAGTTAATGAGTAGTAAGATTTCAATTAAAAAAATGCCTCTTGCTAGAAAATGGACAGTAATCCACTTGTAAGTAGTTGAAATTCAACGTTCCATGCTTTTTAAGAGTTGGACTAACATCTTTTTTTCACTGAAAGTACATTAAATTTGTGAAGCTGACATCATCATCCGTATTAATTAAATTGTGCATAAACCCATAGAGCTTTATTTTTGGTTGTGACTCTTCTGCACATGAAGTTACTAATTTACAAATTAAATATTTTCTGATTGTAGGGTGAAGGAGCTGATGGTTGATCCTAGTTCTGCAGGAGATATTCGTCCTATTATACACCATGCTTCCAATCAGTTCGATGACTTAGAGACACACTGGGGTGTGGGGAGCTCTCCTCAGAGAGACGATCTCAAACTGCTTTGTGAACAAAACGTGAGTGGTTAACAGCATTACATAGAAAGAGATGATGATAAATACAATGGCAGAACAAATCCAGAGTAATGTGTATTTATAAGTTGCTAGCAATATCATTAAGTAGATTGAAATGCTGGAGTTTGAACCCTGAGCCCCAAATTAAAGTTGACATATGGGTGATTCCCACAGCCCTTCATAAAGAGGTGGTGAGTTTGCCTTAGAGCTCCCCCCCAGGGTGGGGCTGGCCCTGCAGGGAGAGCCATAAGGGAAATGAGCCCCAGGTGTCCTGCATTGAGTGAACAAAGGTCAGGTGTCCTGCTTGAGGATAAAAACTGGGACCACTGGCAGTAAGGGAGTAGTGTCTGCTCTGTGGAGTGCACTCCACAGAGCTTTCTGGTTCAGGGAAGACCTCCTGACTCTCCCTGGAGCTGGGCCCCAGTCCATTTAGACCTTTGTGAATGCAGGCTGATCGGGTGAGAGTTGCTATGTGGGCACCTTTTTTCTTATTTGTTTAGCTTTCTGGTCTGCCTGTTTCCCATGCCAGCTATAGGAAACCTTGGTTCACTGTTTGTACCACTTGTTGTGGGCTGAGTTATGTCTTTTGTGGGGTCATTGGGCATGGTGTCAATTATGTACCAGCTGATTGACTTGTTTGTACCCCCAGTGATCATTCATGGAATGTCCTTTTTGCTTACAATACAGTCTGTGTATTGGTTCATCTTCCTCCTGGCTGTATCATTTTTGTTGGGCCTGGTCATTGGCAGAACAGTAGATACAGCATGTCCCTCCACCTTTTCACTTCATGGGGGTATGTTTATTCCCATACACACACAAAAAAAAAAGTTTCCCTGAAGGATGAGAGGAGAAGGTTTTACTTCTCTTTATCTTCCTTGCTGATTAGGGCTTTCAATGTTTAGGCAGGGTCTGCTCTAGGATCTCACATTTTTTAGTGTGCTTTTTTTCCAGTATAGCTTCATCTCTTACTAGGTAGTTAGAAGTAGCCTGAGAAACACGTGCATTTTGTTTAATGCTCTTGTGTTTTTGACCGTTATTTTCCCTCCATACAACACCTCTTTCAAGTGGGTTTGCCTTTCTCTGTGTTTAGAAATCTGGCTGCTCATCATTCCTATTCCTAATATCCTGATTTTCATGAAATGAAACCCCAGAGCAATGTTTAGGAGGAAGCCATATGATGTTCCCAGGATGTCTCCCTGGGCTGCATGAGTGGAGAGCTGGGACTGAGAAGCATATTCTAAAGGTCATTTTTCCTTCACTGCTGATTATCAGCTCTGGTCCTGGTTCCTTAAATGTTCAACAGTGATTAAAACTTAATTTGTGAAAATGTTGATGAAAGCTAGAAAATAAAAAATCTTTACTACCTGAACTTATTTTTGTTTACCCTCTGCATTCTAAAGCACATCTTCATGTTTTTCCTGTATTTCTCACTTTAATAAATGGCTCTTCTTCCAGGACTCTATTTTAAAAGAATGTGTTAGTGATTCCTAGAGCTTCCCACTAAACAGTCCTTCCAGCCAGATATCCTTTCATATCATACTTTTTTGTTGTTGTTGTTCCTGTGGAATTCAACTAGGCTTTACAACATGTTTCTAAAAAGGTTTTAAAGGCATTGGTATAAGGAACCATACTGTCTTGCTAAAACATTAATTGCAGCCTACCTAGCACTTTCCCCTTTGATTGTTAACTATTTATGTTTAAAGAAATCCTGTTTGTCCCAGGTTGTAAATCCATGTTGTGCATTCTTCTAATGTATTAATCACTACATACTCTTTTAGATTTTGTCACTTCTAAAGGATTAATTTAATTTTGCATTCTTGAAATGTATTGGATGTAATTGCTGTTTTCTTTTTTGAAAATTGTTATCTGTCTATTGTGGTATGCACAACAAAAAGCCCTGATGGAAAATGGGTGCTAAAACCTACTAGAAATTAGCATCCTTCCCTTGTGACTTCCTCCTCCCACTTTTTTAACTTGTGTTTATTTTTTATGTGGAATATTCAGTTTTCCAGTAATCACTAGGATTAGTGGCTGAAAATTTTTACTGAATATTAATTAAATTTAACTCTGAACATTTTTAATTTATTGCCCTTTCCACTCATTTCTGGAGATATTAGAAGTACTATTTTTGACAGGTTCTACTTCCTGCATATTTCTTTTCATGTTCTGCGGTAGGATGGATCACATTCAGTATATTTCCTGTAGCCATAGTTCTTTCCAGACTAACAAACTTAACTATTGTTTTTAGGAAGAAGAAGTTTCTCCACAGTTGTTTACTTTCCATGAAGCTGTGTCACAAATGGTAGAAATGGAAGAGCAAGTAGTAGAAGACCACAGGGCTGTCTTCCAGGTAAAAGATAGAGATCTATTTTGTTTTATCCTAATCCAGGAATTCAAATTTTCCCAATGACAGTGTATACTCTTCAAGATGCAGGATATCATGTGGTCAATATAGTACTCTCAGAGATTTCTAAATTGTTCTATTACACTAAGCCCATTGTCGCAAATAGGAACAGATGTTTAGATCCCATAACCATTAATATTTGTCCCCATGATGAAAGAGAACCATATTTTTCTACCATCCCAGAAACTTAGTAAAATTTTCCTTTTCTTCTCAACAAACATTCCTAAATAGACTGCATTCATTGTAAGAAAAGTTGCTATTTTCTTTTTACTATTTTAACTGTTTACAAAATTTTCTGTGTTAGTCCTTTTCCAGCATTAGTGACTGTTTTATCTAGTTGCAAGAAGCTTACTCAGATTGGTCTTGAAATTGTCAGTTTCACTGTCTAATCTATGCCAATATTCCTATGCCAAATCTGGCAATTAATAGTAATGTCTCTATATAGTAATTTCTATTAGCACTATTTCTGTTTGGTCATTTCCCTCTAAGATGATGTGATACTCCCTCCAAGTATGTCCTCTAAATATCCTTTTGTGACATCTTCCTCTGAGATACTGTGACCTAGAATAAAAAAAAAAAATATTTCTAACTCCCTGTTTGCTTCCTTTTTACAAATACATAAAGATTTTTACTTGCTATTAGCCAGGGTCTTTGGAAGGAATGTTAACCACACAGTGTAATGCTGGTCAGCACACAGACTCATTTACATTCACAAAATAAATCATAAGTATGAGTTACTAGTTTTCAGAAAGTGAGTTGCTTCTGTTTATAACCTTAGAATCTTGAAGGCAGGCTGTCCATTTAGTACATCTGCTGTAAGAAAGCAGCAAAATATTAAACTTCTAGAGAATACACACACATCCCCAACTTAGGTCTATAACTTTGTGGAACAGTGTGCTCATATAAAATGTTTTATTTAGCATTCTACTGTATTAAAACAGATGTCAATATTTAGTTACTCTGAAACATTAGCCCTGAAGTAAAATGTGCAGAAGTGTGAAAAGCTTATGCCATAGCTGTGTCCTAATGCTTGAGACTTCTGAAGAGACAAGCTGCATTAGATTAAGATATTACTGCCTTTGTGTATCCATCTGACCTTATGCTGCAGATTACTGCTCCTCACAGCAGTCAGAAGGAAATGTGTCTGAACCTGAGCTCCCTTCATTTGCAGCATGGCTTGTTAGTTTATGGGTTACACCAATACAAAATCTACAAGCTGTAACATGCAGAAGTTATCTTCTGTCAGCTTTCTCTGGAAAGCTGTTGATTCTGGGATAAAGAGCATCCTATCCTAACAAAAACATCTAAAAGAGATCAAGTGAATGAATAGTGCTCAAGAGGTATTGGTCTTCTGTTGTTTCTTGAAACACCACCCTCTGTTCCAGGGAGACAAGACTTGTGTGGCTTACTTGATTGCGGCACAAGTTTCATGTGAGTGACCTGTGTGATGGCCTCCATGGTTAGGTCCACCCTTCAATCACGAGCCTGTCTGTATGTTGCATCTCTCCCTAAATGTCATGATGTTTCATGGACCCATCGGGCTATGAATAGCTCACCCTTATGCTCCCAGTCCAGATTGAGCTGGGCCACTTCAATTTTGGCAGCCTTGTCTACCTGTTCATTGTTTTGATGTTCTTTAGTGGCGTGGCTTTGGAGCACATGAGCATCTACGTGATGCACCTTTAGAGTCACGTTTTCCACTTGGGCAGCAATGTCCTGCTACAATACAGCAGATAGGTTTACCTCTCCACTTCCAATTGGTCTTCTTCCACTCCTGTAGCAACCCCAATAGGGCATTAGCCACCATCCAGGAGTCAGTATAGAGATACAGTACTGGCCACTTTTCTCCTATGGCAATCTCTAAGGCTAGTTGGATCGCTTTCACTTCTGCTAACTGATTTGGCTCACCACCTCCTTCAGTGGTCTCAACCACTTGTCCTGTGGGACTCCACACAGTGGCTTTCCACTTCCAATGGTCTCCTACCACATGACACAATACATCAGTAAACAAAGCATAACACTGTTCACCTTCTGTTAACTTATATGGCGATGCCTCTTGGGCACGAGCCACCTCCTCAGGCAGTGCTCCAAAATCTCTGCCTTCTGGCCAATCCATGATCTCTTCCAGTATCCCTGGATGGTTGGTTTTTGTAGTTGAGCCTGTTGCCTGCTCAACATTACCGATTTATTCCATATAGCACTGGTTGCATGATGTGTAGAGGGAACGTTTCCTTTGAACATCCAATGTAGCACAGGCAAATGTGGTGCCAAGAGGAGGTGTTGTTCTATACCAACAACTTCTGAAGTGGCTTGAATCCCCTCATATGCTGCTAGTATCTCTCTTTCAGTCGGGGTGTATTTGGCTTCTGATCCTCAATATCCACAGCTCCAAAACCCTAATGGTTGACCTCAAGTTTCTCCTCATATGTTCTGCCAGAGGCTCCATGTGAGACCATGCTTCCCAGCTGGAAGCATGCATCATCATCAAGCACCTGGAATACGCATCATCCAGAAACCCACAAGGCCTAGGAGAGCTTGTTTCATTCTTGTTAGCTGGTGGTGACATAGTTGCTATTTTGTTGATGATATCTGTAGGCACATGTCCATCCTGCCATTTTATTCCCAAGAACTGAATCTCCTGTGCGGGTCCCTTGACCTTGCTTTTCTTTATGGCGAACCCAGCTCTCAGAAGATTCTGAATTACTCTTTTTCCTTTCTCAAACACTTCTGCCTTGTTGCCCCACACGATGTCATCAATATACTGTAGATATTCAGGGGCATCACCCTTTTCCAGTGCAGTTTGGATTAGTCCATGACAAATGGTGGGGCTGTGCTTCCACCCCAGGGCAGCCGATTCCAGGTGTACTGGACACGCCTCCATGTGAAAGCAAATTGTGGCCTGCACTCCACTGCCAAAGGAATTGAGAAACATGCATTGGCAATATCTATGGTAGCATACCACTTGGCTGCCTTTGACTCCGCACGCAGAGGTGGTGTCGCTCCATTCAGGCCACGATAGTCTACTGTCAACCTCCACCCACCGTCAGACTTTTGCACTGGCTATATGGGGCTATTAAAAGATGAATGTGTTTTACCTCTCGGTTCATATACATGGTTTTCCAACTTAAAGGTGGGTTGACCATCCCACTTCTACATGTGTTCCCCCTGGTCATGCAGAAAGAAGCAAAGCGTGCCACATGGCATGCACCTTAGGTTCCCTTTCACTCTGAAATGCTGGGGTTTGACCCCCGAGCCCCGAATTAAGGTTGACATATGGGTGATTCCCATATGAGTGTGGTCCAAATATGCAAAGCTGAAATAGCTCTTGATAAAGATGGCAAAAAGGGCTTTATCCAGCATGTGGAAACCCATTTTGGACCAGAACCTGTAGAAACACAAGCATATCCTCTACCCCAAGTTATTAATAGGAAAGGGCCTTCCTATTGGTTTGTCTGTAAGTCCTTCACCATCACCTGTGCCTTATCTGTTAGAGGCTGACATTTTAATACACTAAAATGGCACTGAATTGGAGGACCTTCTTTAGTCCATCGATTTAAGAAATTTAAGATATAAGAAGCTTTAGCCACTTTCTCTTGGGGGGATTACTCCTGACTCCCCCTTTTTTGTTTTAATAACATGTTTTTTAGGGTGCCATGTGCTCATTCAACAATAACTTGTCCTGTGGGGGAGTGAGGTATTCCGGTAGAATGCCAGAATACGTTTTTTGTGCTATATATCCTGGGCCATTATCTGTTTTCACTTGTTGCGGGACTCCTAAAGCTGACAAGGCCTGAAGAAAATGTTGGCAAACATCTCTCGCTTTTTCTCCTGTATGCACAGAGGCATACATGCAGGAGGAAAAGATATCTATGGAAATGTGAACATGCTAGCATTGTTGGTGAGGGGAGACCAGGTTGTAAACCTCCCATGTCCTCCATTACCTCATTAGTTTTCCACAAGTCATGCAAAAATCGACAGGAACCTCTTTTCTTCTTTATCACAAAAACTCATGTGTTCCACGGACTAGCTGTGGGGACAATATATCCAGCTTGTAATTGTTCTTCCACTCCTTTATGTAATTGCAGCAAATT